AAAACTAATTATTAACATTTTTCCAGTGCCTGCAAAGCATTATGTAAGTTGCTGTAATGTCAGCCAAATAGAAAACAAAACAAAACAAAAATTCTAGTTACTCATTAACACTTTAGTTTCTGAATTTAAAAAAAAGACATTAAACCTAAGGACAAAATTTAAATTAGAGGGTATTCCTATGGAGAAATCAGTATAGGATTCTGATGTTACAGAATTAATACCATAGTCCCTGCTTATCTGCGGTTTCGCTTTCCGCAGTTTCGGTTATCTGATGAACTGCAGTAGGAAGCAGATGGTCCTCGTTCTGACGAATCATCAGAAGGTCAATAGCAGCCTAACTCTACGTTACACTGCGTCATGTGCCGCACTTCATCTCATTACATAGGCATTTTGTGGCTACATCATCACCATGGTGAGTACAGTACAGTGAGGTCTTTTGAGAGAGACAGACCACATCCATATAACTTTTATTACAGCTTATTGTTATAATTGTTCTATTTTATTATTACGTGTCTAATTTGTAAATTACACTTTATCATAGATGTGTATGGATAAGAATAAACATAGTGCGTATGGGTCCAGTACTGTCTGCAGTTTCAGGCATCCCCCAGGGGTCTTGGAACATAAGCCCCTTGGATAAAGGGGACTGCCGTAAATCAAGGAGCTTATACAAAATAATTTTAGCTTAAATTTTGTTTAAATGTTTTTTTCAGGTTACCTTAAGGAATATTTGGTTAATAGTCAATTCAGTCCAATTCGTTCAGTCAACAAAATATTTCTATATTAATTATATGTAATTCTCAACTCTATCACTTTATTTACTACATTATTGATTTGTTAGCATATTCCTTAATCTTAAAGCACATTTGTAATGACTGAGTATTCAGCATTTTTGTGTACCTGTTCAGTCCAGTTCTGTTTGGCCACTGCTGAAACCCATTTATATCTCTTGAGTGTTGGTTAGGGGCAGACAAAACTGCCTCTGGAGCACCTTTATGAGGAAGCCCTTGACAGGGGCTGGCTGACTTTTATGACCCATTGTTTTCTGTTTAGTCAATTCCAGTATTTCTGCCAGCAGATTTTCGAGGTACTGTGGTGAAACCAGTGATGATTCTCACCATTTATGCGTCATATTTTGAGATGTACTTTGATCATTATTTTATTGCAGTTTCTTACTTTAACTCTCTCTCTGTATATATATGTATGTGTATATATACATATATATATATATTTAAGGTTTGTTAGAATATTACATGGAATTTTAGGAAGTCACACAGAAAATTTGTTTCTTATGTAAATAATTCATTTTAGAAATTTGAGTACCTCTGCAGTTTCCTGTGTCATTTTTAAATCAATAGTCCAATTGTAAAAAAAATAATTAAAAAATTTTAAAGATGTTCAAAGTAATTTTGATGAACATGGTCAAAGTTAAAGATCATCTGCAATTAAGAAAAATCATTTCAATAATAAAGCTATATGAAACAGTGACTCTTTTCCAAACAACATTTGAAATTCTAGGTGGTTCCCTGGGCAGGACAACAGAATGCAGTGGTCCTGAGCTGAAGGCACTTAACAAACTTGAAATTTAATACATGAAGATAGCTGTCCTCTTTGTTTCCATTCCTCTTCTGCTATAATCAGTTCTCTAGGCTGAAACCAAAGTAGTTTCTTTAAAATGCAAATCAGATTAATAAGTGGTTCATGGTAACTTTTCAAATGTAAAATTTCAAGTGAAAGCTCTAGTCCATAATGAAACATTTGTAGACATTTTAAAAAGGCAAAATCATACCATAACCCTCCTTTGGATAAAACACACCAATGACAGAATAAAAATCAAAACCCTTAGCTTAATCTCAAGACAGTCAGATATGGCCACAAGCTGGTGACTTGTTTTGACTGCCAACACTTCTGTGTGGCCTCAGCTCCAACCACTTGTGGCTTCCTGTCTACCCTTGGCCTCAGTGAGTCCACTTATCTCATTCGGGCCTTTCATTTCCTAGTGCCTCTGCCTGGAATGTTCTTTCACCATGTATCTTGGCCTTATTTCTTCATTTCCTTTATGTCTCTACTTCCTCATATAGGCAATCTCTGATCTTCTTACATAAAATGGTATACCATCTATCACATTCTACCCCATTAAACAGTATCATTTTTCTTATTAGGTAAGTATCTGCTAATTTATTTCCCTCATTAATTTTAGGCTTCACACAAGGGCAGGGACTTTGTTGTATTATTGCTAGGTCTCAAGCACCTTGAACAGGCCCTCAAAACCCCAAACCAGCCCATATCCTGAATTTGTGTGAATTAGAAAAGGGCATTCCTGCCTCAAAAATATTAGAATGTCAGTGCCTGGTAATCATAGTAAGCATTACAGAACTATGTGGCAGTTGTGAAGTGAATAACACCCCCTGGAGGTATGCAATGCAGGATTTGCACAATTATAAACACTGACTCTGAGATTGACATATAGTAGCAATCAATAAATATTTATTGAATTAATGTGTGAATGAAATGCCATTAGATCTATTCAAAGAAATACCTATAAATCTGAATTAGTTGTAAAATGCAGCTCTAGAACATTTTTTAATGGGTTCTATATGCATGTCATAAGTCCAAAGAAAACTTTGACTTTAGTTTTTGAAATTGCACTAATAATACACCAAGTTGGATGACAATAAATAGAAGTTTAAAAGAATAGACTCTAACAGATGTTCATTTATAGTTTGAGAGAAAAGGGAAAAATTTTCCTTCAGCTCAGATGCCTTTCTTGAAATTCTCACCATTTTTTACAGACATTTGGCTGGTTTCCAAACATCGTTGCTTGTCTGGTATGAGGAATGCCATCTGTGCAGTATGGAAATCCTTTTTAAAAAATGGACTGCTAATTATGCTCTGGGCAGGTGCTGTTAAAGTGAAATCAGGTGTCAAGCTTACAATTGTCTAAAATGACTGTTTTTCTGAAAAACAATGGCATACCATATTGTAAAATGGAATTTAAGCATGGCATGTAAGCATTCCATTTTTGAGGTGTTGCAAAGGTCAGATTGCATAGCACAGCTGTAAAATATTCTAACAACTTCCACCATCAAGAATGGAAATTAAGTTTTATTTTAAATCACGGATAGAGATTACATCAAAGTTATATATTTCCTCACTAAAATATCTTCTGATTATATTTTTTTCTGAAAAGTTTATGGAGGAACAGTGAGTTGAAAAGTATTAATACCAATTCTAAAATATATAAATTATCTTTGAAAAGTAGCCAAAATAAGTTTTTTGTTGTTTTTAAGTGGAACCTGTTTTGTTAGAATAATAAAAAATAAACTTAATGGAGTTTTTTTAGCTCCATGCAGGGCAACATGACCAGTTTATCTTTTTAAAATATATTAACTAAGTAAAAACACTGCAGTCTTTCCAAGTTTCACTACAGATTTACGATGACACACTCATTTGTTACTATAATGCTAACTCATATAAAGCAAGGTAGAAATACCTCTCAGACAAATCTTAAAATATGAGTATTGATATGTCTCCTACAATAAAACATCTCCATTATTATCGGAATATAACTTTGATATTGCTTATTTTGTGTGACTATTTTCTATTTGCAATATGGTTAATAATACATTGTCATTTAGTACTTAAAGCAGTTCCATGAGTTAGAGTCCAGTATTGTTCTACGCTGCAGATGAGATCACTGAAGCTTAGTAAGTTGAAACATCTTCCCTAAATTCACATGCTACTAAATTGCAGAGCTGGGGCTTATAGTTTAGTTTGTAGAATCTCAAAGCCTATATTTTAACCACTCCCAAAATAGCCTCTTCTTAAAAAAAGGTGTATTAGGTAGAAGGATTTCCCTTATTAGACCAAGGAAATGTCATTAGCACAACAAAATATGATAATTTACATACCACTTGATCTCAGTTACAATTTCAGCCACTGTGGCCAATGCAACTAGGGCCACAACAGGAAGTTTACAAGTCCCCTCCTTCATCATGAATATAGTTGAGTCAGTTAAAGCCAAGAGATTTAAAGTAGGAGGCTTATACTTACATCCAATTCCATTTCGTTCAATTATCTTGTACCTCATCTCACAATGGGTTAGAATTACCAAGTAAGATATAGAAAGTTATTACTGTCAGACATAGGATTCTGAACAGAACTGGAAACTTAAATATCGAAGGAGATACAGAGAATGAAAAGTAATTTGGAGCTGTAAAAAAATAAATGGGCATATTAAGACTTTCAAGAATTTATCTGAGTAAGAAGTGGTTTAAATTGAACAGTGCCAGACCAGAAGTGGTTTGGAGCACTCCACTGACAGGAAGAGCAGGGAGAGAATCTTACAGAGAAAAGGATGCAAAGTGAGGAAATGTTTGATTGTCCATAGCGTTAAGTGTAGTTGGATATGTGTGACTGGTTGTCCTTAGCATTTTGATTTTGTAAACTTGGAGCCTTTACAGGCTTAGATTTTGGTTTGGCTATGTAGATAGCCATGGCATTAGAGCTACATCTGTCTAATGACCCCTTGCTAATTAATTTAGCAAAGCTCATTACCTTTAGGTGAAAAATCTCTGTATTATAGCAGGATTTGGTTCATTAAGATGTGTTAAACACAAGATAACAGACTGAAAATGGCCTTGCTTATATTAAACCTCATGTTATCAAAATGAGACTTAATTAACTTCTGGGAGAGTTTCAGCTGCTCCAGAAATGGAATCTTAAACCCATCAATCAGGAATCACCTGATCAGCACTAGTTCAGTAGTCAGCCTGATAGACCCCTGCCACCCCCTAAGGAAAAGTAAATTTGCAATATTCAACCCATATTTTTGCCTCATAATTTCCTTGTTCCCTCTCCCTTCTGCCTATAGAAGTCTTTTATAGCTTGTATAGCTTCTCAGAGCTCCTTTCTATCTGCTAGATTGAATGCTACCTGATTTCAAATTGAATTTTGTCATAAACTCTTAAAATTTTAGGTGTACCTCAGTTTATTTTTTAATAGTACTGAGGACAGAAGAGGGAACCAAGGAGGACCGTTGATGGCCCCCAGGAGCAGTGAACAACCAGATAGAGGTACCTGTTGAGCCTCTTGAGCTCTCTCCTCTTGCTGCCTTTGAAGGTCATGGGTATGCCTCTCTCAGATCCTAGCTCCACAGCTTTTGCATTTTGAGCTTTCAGACTTTATTTGAGTATTTCTTTTTCTAGACTGTGTTGAGAAGATGGGCAGAGTCAGACTGGCTTAGATTTGGATTTGGATTTAGAAAGTGGACTGGGACCTGGGTTGGACTGGGTCCGACTTAAGCTGGGATTGAGTCACATGTGAGGCCTAAGGTAAGTAAAATTTTATTTTAAGGCTGAAATGGCCTTAAAATAACTTTACCAAAAATAACCCTGAATACAGTGGCCACAGTGGAGAATTTTTAACCTAGATAAGCTTATCCCTTAGAGAAAAAGGGGTCTCAGCTACTCACTCACTATAAAGGGTAGATGGAAAATTATTTTTCCTTTTCTACAGTTTCTGGTGACCAGGATGAGACACTCTGAGATTCCACTTATTCCAGAGCCTGCAGGCAGCATCCTGGGAAAACTGGCAGAAGCCAGCAAAGGGTAAGAATTGTTATCAGAGTCAGTTCTCCCCAGGTTCTATCTGTGGTGCCTGGTTGAGAAAGGAAGGTAAAATTTCACATTGTTCCTTCCTTTCAGATTGACAGGCAAAAGAAAGCATTTGTAAGAATGAGATCTTTTAGTTGTGACTTGTGACTTGCTTCTGGGTATCCACTGATTGAAGATCTTTTTTCTCCCAAGGACAGTTATAGCTTTCTTGTTTATCATGTTTTGTGTCTTAAGAACTTGACTTGGCTTTCTGCTTGACTGGGTGGGTGGGTGGGGGGTGGTGATATGCTGGTTCTTGAGTATACAGACAGATTAGCAATTAGGTTGGAGGCTCCGAAAATATGGCCATACAGAAATTTGAGTTGCAGTTCATTTGTGGGTAGGGTCCTACTGACTGTTGTCAACCCTCAGGAGAATTATCTTATTTTTCTTCCTCTTGGTTATCTTTGGGAGGCCCTCTGGACCTTGGTAGGGAATCATTTTCGCCCTCTTTGGGGCTGCTTCTTTCATCAGTGGGGTTATGTAATACTGAGACAGGGACCGTGGGCTTAGACAGAATAGGGTGAGGGCCTCCAGAAAAAGCAAGGCAAGATATTTACAGTCAAAGCAATGTAACAATGTAAAGTCCTTATCGAAACTCTGTGTTCAGCATTATGCAAAGTCAAGGTCACGCTAATTCTCTAGGGTAAAGATACTAGACTAAGAATATAGACATCTTCAGTGAGATCAGTTAAAGGTGAAGGGTCCCCACCAGTAAGATGGCAAACTTCTGGCTTCTCTTCGGGGTCCTCAGTTCCCGCCGGCGCCACCTGAAGCCCAATCACCTCTCGCCCCCCTCCCAATCCCAGCACCTAGCCAACAGCCACCAGCCCCGTAGAAGTGACACCTCAATCAATTCATGCACCTTCCTATATAACCCAGCACCTTTCCCTAATAAAGTGGAACTCTCCGGTGAA